CCGTACGGACGTAAAATTTTTTCAGGCCTTATTTCCACCTACCAGATAAGTAGGGTTTATTATTGCGAAGGACGCTTTCATACATTTTATGAAAGCGCAGTACACATATATTATTTTCATATATTTACTGAGTCGTCGCCATCATTACGCATTTTAGTGTCTTAGGCCTAGTTTATAGGTCGCGCTACAGTCGAATTTAATTCAGACGAATTTAATTTCATTAAATTCGTCGTTCCGTCGACATCAATCGTGGCGTGGTTTTATGCGTCGAAATCAATTCGGACGAATTTAATTCTCTTCCCAAATGCAGTGCCTCTGGTCAGAGGTGTCACTCGAAAAGCTCGCCAAGGGTCGCTGCGCGCTCGCCAAAATAAATTAAGAAAATGTATGCATTTCATTCGACGCGACGCAAGTGCGACGTTAAAACTGAAGACGCGTTATCGACACTTTATCCGCCTTACCAAGACGGATAAAACGTCTAGGACGAATTTAGTTTACCAGACGAATTTAATTTGTTTTAGACGTCGCGCTATCGTCGAATTTAATTGCTTGTGGGACCTTGAATCAAATTCGACTGTAGCGCGACGTATAAACTAGGCCTTAGTCAAAAATTGTCTTCGGTTTTTAAATGTCATCCTTTCGCGGGATTTCGCAATAATCGCGGGTTTCATAATTTGCCCGCTGATCAAAATTACTGTTCACTCTTACCCTCGACGAACGCCTTCGATATAGCTCACCCAAATAAAGTTGTTATTCAGTTGTAATTATAATCCCATACCAAATTCTTTAAATTACTATCTTAAGAACTGTATGGTAGATAATTACAGGAGATCACTTATAAGATCTTGGGAGTGAAAGAGTTATTCCACAGGCGTCTCAAGCGAGGAAAAGTGAAAGATTATTTCACGATAGCGTCACGATAGCGTCACGATAGCGTCACGCGTTGTGACGCGGTGCTAAGTTACGCGCTGAACCATTAAGAATTTGAATGAGTTTATAAGAAATATGGTCGATTTACAACACTCTGGAACGCCTGTGGTTAATGAAGAACTTCGAATTCGACTCTTTAGTTGACGATTACTTCATAAATTCTCTTGACGTTATTCATGATTCAATTGTGATACTGTTGGACCTCATTTGCTCGTGTAAGCCGAGACAACTCTTCTCCTGAGTTACCCTGGGGGAGCTAACTTTTCACTTATTTATTTAAAAATTCAACCGAACGTAAACTTGTCTCGGGCAGGCGAGACAATTCGGTGGGGGGGGGGGGTGAGTTGTCTCACCTCGGCCGGTAGAGTATCCCTAGCAGTAGGGACAACTTTTCCACATGTAAACACCTTTTCTCGCCAAACCGCCCGTGTGTATTACAGCTATTATTTTTGCTGTCGCACGCCGCTCTGTCTAATATATAACCTGGCCCGGCCGAACGAGAGTTAGCAGATGACAAATCTCATGTAAACGTTCCGTGGAGTTGTCTCAGGGGGAGGGTTATCTCGGGTACTCGAGACCATGAAATTCGGCACTCTGATCTTCCCCCCCCAGGGAACACGAGACTCATGGAAAAGACTAGCAAAAGTGCGCGCGAACTTTACGTGCTGTTGATTCAAGAGAGAAAGTTCAGTAGACTTGGAAAATTCCTACAATTTCAAGAACATTAATGTCGCATGAAATCTCGCTTCGTCAAAAGGGAGAAATATCAGTAACAGGTTAGTGCGATGGCATTTTGTGCTGTTAGGTAATTGACATGCTACCGACACAAAACATGCATATTATTTAGATATTCAGTTGAATGGGAACTACATGACTGTTGTCAGGAGACTCTTTTCGTTCAATGTATAAGGGAAATATCAGCGAATCTAAACTCAAATACATTGCCTTTACCGTTGAGGAAACTCGTTTAAAGGTTTACCAAGGAATTCGTTTGATTCCTGAACAATCTCCAGTTTCAGGCTACCCGATAAGCAGATGCGCAAATGACACACTCGTAACCAACATAATAATCAGCCCCCAGTTGGCTTGTTAGCTCAGTCGGTAGAGTAGAGGTAATTGGTTCAAATCCCGTACAGGCCTAAATTATTTTCAGGCCTCATTTTCACTATTGCTTAAGTAGCGTTCATTACTGCGAAGATCGCTTTCATACTCGTCCGTTGATTATCCAAGTCAAGCGAACCTTAACTCGAAGTCGGGTGTGTGTATAGGTGAAAATTTTGCAATAAAATTTCTTTATATATATTAAACAATTTTTAGCCAAGTTTTTGTTATGTTTGTAGACTACGTTTGTTGCAAAGTTCGCAGTCATCTAAACTCCGTTTTTTCTGCCTACCACACATTAGAAATTATGTTCTGAAGTTTTCCTGAAGTCATTATTCAGAATTATTTCCGAGGCGACTTTTTCTTTAGTTACCACGCAGCATGCTACATTCCTACATCCTCTTCGTTTCACAACTCTCTGACAGGAGGTCAGCTGTTCTGGCAAATTTACTGCCTTTATTTGCTCCTCTCGAGGGGAGTGAGGTATGCTTGAGTTATATGTGTTGGACTTCGAGCGGAGTTTAGATAACTGCGAATTTTGCAACAAACGTAGTCTACAAACATAACAAAAACTTAGCCACAAACCAAGTCAGTATATATTATTATACAAAAAAATAAACTTAGCCGTTAATTTACGGCTAAATGATGTCTTTGTAATAATCTCGCCACAAATTTAGCCGAAATTTAACGGCTAAATTTTGCGTTTAAAATATATATTACACTCGATTTAGCCGTTAATTAACGGCGAAATTTTTGGTTTCAATATATATCACACTCGGTTTAGCCGTTGATTAACGGCGAATTTTTGGTTTGTGTATATATCACACTCGATTTAGCCGTGAATTTACGGCGAAATTTTTGGTTTATATATATATAATACTCGATTTAGCCATTAATTCACGGCGAAATTTTTGGTTTGTGTATATATAATACTCGATTTAGCCATTAATTAGTACGTGTAATCAAATGGCGACGAGTGAAATTAGGAAATAATTTCACTTGCGTTTTGTCGAAATTCTGATAATTCGCCTTTAGGCGAGGGAAATTATCAGAAT